CTCTCTGTCTCTCATGAATAAATAAATAAAAACTTTAAAAAAAAAAAAAAAAAACAGAGTTCCCAGCAATTGTATTAAAGGCCAGATTTGCTGGTCCTTTTCTCAGTCACCTAAATTGTCTGTGATCTCATTATCTCTGGTTTTTTCTGCCTCTAAAAAAGAAAAGAAAAGCTTTAGTTTAATTGTATGGTTCATTACCATTGTGTACATGCTGATCATTTTTCCTCAGACCTCATTTTTTAGTCAGGGATTTACTCACACGAGATGTGTTGAGGACACTTACTGAATCAGTATATATAGCCCAGTCTCTGGATCTAGGTCTTCATTCTGACATCTGCAACCAGTATGATTTTGGGCCAATCACTTCATCTCTCTGTACCTCAGTTTCCTTATCTATAAAATGAATTTCATAATAATTTTCATGTTGTAGTATTATTGTAAGATAAACCTGAAGACACTTATATCATTGAATCAATATTAGCTATCCTCTTTAGGACCCTGTAAAAAATTCAATGTGAGGTGATAAAGATAAAAAGAAACAGAACATGATCTCTACTCCTAAGTAATTCATTTTTTTTTTAATTTTTTATTGTTATGTTAATCACCATACATTACATCATTAGTTTTTGATGTAGTGTTCCATGATTCAGTTTGTGCATAACACCCAGTTCTCCATGCAGAACGTGCCCTCCTTAATACCCATCACCAGGCTAACCCATCCTCCCAACCCCCCTCCCTTCTAGAATCCTCAGTTAGTAATTCATATTTTAATTTGAGAAAAAATTATATAAAAGAAAATATCATGAATGATACAGTCTGAAAATAAAGGAATTAAAACTTCTGATTTGGGACATAGTGGAGTAACCTTTTTTAGGTTTTTGACTTTTTGATTTTTTTTTACCTTTTGACTTAAACAACTAGAAAATGCAAAAGTATATAAAGCAACAATTTTCAGGCATTGAGTAACAAGCAGTGGAGGATTGTGATCACTGCAAGAAGTGAAACAAAGTGAGCTCTACAACTGCCCCAGTGTGCAGTCTGAATGCAGTTTCTAGGCTGCAGCATGGGGTGGGAGCATTCAGCCAGAGGCTGGCAGGGTCTCTGAATTGAGCAGACAGAGATCAGAGTTTGGGGAGGTGGGTGACTTGTGTTTGTAGAGAAGAGGACCAGAGATGAGAGACATACACAAAAAGAAAACTCTGGAGATATGCAGAAGGATGCCCTCGAGACTTTGGCTGAGTATAGATCTAAGCATCCATTAAAAAAAAAAAAAAAAAAAGTTTACCTGAAGGTGTAAAAGGATCCATGAG